AATTCATAATAAAATAAACAATAAAAAAAGAAACTCTCCAGATTAATTTGGAATGTCATTATACAGATTGTTATCTATGAGGTTTTACATTAAGCAAAAAAAAGGCAAGAATAAAGATTTATGTTTTAGTTTTAACTGGAATGTATCATCTATTAAGAACACTTTTGTTTCAATAAATCTCAAAAAAAAAGAAGTTTTGATAGCCACTCCACATTCTCTTGATTAATATATGGCTATGTACACGGTGAACTCAATGATTCACAAAATTTCTAATGCAACTTTATGTAAGAAAATTAAAAGCTCATGCGCATATGTTTGTCTATTTATGGACTGATTGAATAGATCAATGATTTTTAAAAATAGAGAACCTAGTTGTTCTGTGTCAGTGACATTTTCATTTATTCCATCTTCCTTAATATATAGACGAGCCCAATGTCTTATGGACGTCTCATAATCATGCATAGATATTGCTTTACCAATACGTTTCAACGCTTGATGTTCTTCTTGAGGTATCTGTTTTTGTTTGATAATATCACTCATCAAACGATTCATAATCCAGCCAAAACTTAGTATAGTTCCTGATTTATATGCAATATAATACCATGCACTAGCTTTACGGAGTTGTGCTGCATCACTAAAAAAGAAAATTAAAAAATAGTTTAAAAAAAAAGAACAGAAAAATATTTTTCCTACTCTAATTTATCATTTGCAAATCTAGTTCTCATTTCTTGAACAAGATATCGAAATTCTAATAATGCCGTTTCAACTGAATCATTATTTTTCTTTTCTTCTTCAATACATGAATGACATCCTGTTATTAGTTCATATTCATTTTCTAGATTATAAGTCAATAAAATTGTATTAATTCTTGAAGTATAATATTGATATTCATTTTCAGCCTCATGAATATATGTCTCATAACCTTGAATTAAAAAGTCTTCATTAATATTTATCTTTTGATCATATAATTTATCTTGATATGTTGAATGAATTTCCCATACTTCTTTGACTTGTCTATACATAATTCCAATACTTGAATGGGATTCAAATGAATGTTTATATTTATTTTCCATAAAATCAGGATATTTATCAATATTTATGTCTCGTGGTTGTTTTGGAAGTATACCAGTTTTTGGAAAATCGACTGCTTCAGAAATAATTTGAGCTAAACGACATGAATTTTCATGACTAGGTCCATATAATGTACAACAAGCTAAATGTCGATTAGACAAAGCTCCTAATGAATCTGAACTCAAATATTTGAAAAGAAAATCAGCGATTTCCATCATAGTTATTTCACCATTATGTTTCATTTTCCCGACTGAATCGAATGTAGCTGGTGAATATTGTAATATAGCATTGTTGACGAGATCTTCATTCCAACATACCCAATACTTATAAAAAGAAAAATTAAATGTTAAAGGGAACAACAAAAATTTTAATCTCCTCAGGACAATTAAAAACTACGTATAGGACTTGAATGTGTAGATGTGAGCCTGAGCTTGGGTTTTATTGTCAGTGCCCTAAAAATCTACATCCAAATCCCTTAGTACTTAATGCCTCTGTAATATATATAACAAGACTTCGAAAAGAATGACTTACTTCATCGCCGTCTAGATCACTACCACTGATTTCATTTGGATGAGGACGTTGTCCTTGAGCTGGAAAAACTACACATTCATATAGATGATGAAGAGTTGGACAATCAACAGCGTCTAATTTCCGTATATCACCTGGGAAATGTGCAGGATTTTTTGTAATTAAGACTTTTCGATTTTTAATTATTTGACTTTGACCATTTAGATCATGAAGTTGAATAAATATTTGACCGTATTGAAGAGAATTTGTTTCATCAACAACACCTAGTAACATTCGTCCATCAGAAAGTGAAATTTGAATGTGTGATTTTTCTTTTAGTCGTTTTAATCTATGAAAAAATATTTTTAATGTATTATCTTCTATTTAGATTTTACCTTTCTTTAGCCAATAAAAGTAATAAGGAACGCACAAATGGTTCTTGAGTTAATTGTACACCGGAATGATACATGCGTTCCCAATCATAAGATCGAACATGTTGTTCAAGTGTATGTTGAGCTGATTTATTAGCTAATAATGACATGGATATTTTTAACCGTGCTTTATTTTGTAATTTCACAAAAATATGTTTTTCTACTTTCATATTTTCAAGCAATACAATCACCTGTCGATTTAAAAATGCCATTCCTATGAAATATAAATTTCTATTCTAGAGTTTTTTTTTCCAAATTCTTCTTACCAGAACTCGAATATTTAACAATTTCCAATACATGATGATCCACCTTAAATTTATATTGACTCGGGCGATATTGAATTAATATACCTTTATTACTTAAGTCAGGAGCTACTACAAATACTCCTTTGATACCATTCAATCGTGCTTGTATTACACATGGCATATAATTATTTTCAATCACCTCAGGATTATAACACATCATCGCCTAATATTTACAAAAACAAAAAAAAAGAATAGATATCAATCTAAATGTGTATCATAAAATATACGTCAACAAACTTCTTTTAATGCCATTGGAGAAATTTTACCGATTCCATCAGTAAAAATTCGATCATGATCATCCAATTTATCATCGATCTTTTGAACCCAGGTCCAAGAGGGGACATCGAATCCTGTAGGTTCCAAATAATTCCGGCTGGAACCTGTACAAATTTTGCCGGAATCCTAACTAACGGATTCTGACGTCGGATATCGTCGGAATCCGGCAAAATCCGACCGAATCCTGTCTATTCTTGCCGGGTTTTGCCAGATTCCGGCGATATCCGCACCGGAATCCGTTAGTTAGGATTGATTGACCTGGGAATCTGATGAGGTAAATGCTTAAAAGAAAAAGAGTATAATGTATGATATTGATTACATATTACTTTTATAGTAGCCGTTGTGCCAGTTAATGATAATGCCATCCGTGCAATACGTCTTCCAATACACTTTTCGGATGAAAAATCACCCATCCATTGTCGTATATGTTTTGCTCGACGTCCATTATAAGGAGCATAAAACCAAAAGCTTCGATCACGTAATTGACTATTCGAACAGAGTAAAAATTCAAATGTTTGATCACCAACTATAATATTCGTCTTTCCTAATATTAAATCGTTAATCCATTTTTCATTGATTTGTATAAAATCAATTTGAGGTTGTCCAAGATCAATATCTCGAATGATAACACGACAAAAATGTTTACCAGATCCAAAAAGATTTTGTTCACGTAAAATTCGATTTCCTCGCATAGGTTTGACTGGTAAAGGATATGTACCATAAGGTGTTAAATAAATTCGAGGTACATATTCCCATTTATCTAAAATAATATTTGATGGTATTGCTTGAATATTATCAAATTCTTGATTTATATCAAAGAAACGATTAAATCGAGCTCGAAAATAAATAGCCATTAATTTCAAATAACATTTATGATTTGGATATTGTTGACCTTTGGATGAATTTGATAATTGAATAATTTTACGAAGAGTAACTATTGTTATTTGATGTTTAATTCGATCACCTAATGTTAATAACATTTGAAATGCATAACTTGACCAAAAATCTGATAAAATGTGATCAAATTGCAATTTCGGAGTTAGCATTTGAGTACAATTAAAACATCCTTGATGACAATCTAATCTTAAGACATTAATCAAAAACTCAGCGCAGGATATTAATGAATTGTATTCATGAAATTTTAAGCATATAGCTGAACTGATTACTAAACATGATCCATCTACTATTCCAAAATCAAGCGTTCTTTGAGTATATGAACGATTTTTAGCTTGAATAATACAATAACAACGTGGAACTGCTTTGAGAGGTAAAATCATCGTGTAAGTTCTAATGTTTTCGGTTGACATTAGAAAATATTTATCCAAACAATTTTGATTAAGTCTTAATTCAACTGTAAATTTAGATTTGTATTTAATCGCAAGATATTTCTCACGAATATCTGTCTTCCATTCTAATAATGAATCATTTTGAATATTTTTACTCCAACAATAAGCTGCTATTGATGTCAAATATCCAAATGATATTTCCATTAAATTGGAACATTTATCTATTTGTGGTACTAATGTTTCCACAATTTTTGATCGCTGTCGAATCCATATAGGAAAATCTATACGAATATGTTAAAAGAATATAGAGTTAATAAGTAAAAAAAAAGCAAAACCCACTGCTACATGATGATCGAATCATAGTAGTTGGCATTTCATTTGGAATTTCATATGAACGGGATACTAATCCTGGTATCATGTATAAACATTTTTTACTGGGTATTTCTAGACTATATCGTTCTAGCATCATGAATATGGGTTGCAATCGTAAAGCATCACATTGTTGGTATGTAAATGAACAGTATGTCATTATTTAGTTGAGATCTTGCTTTGTTGAATTACTTTTTTTTAACGAAGTATACCTGTGTAATGTAGCTTTACCAACATTTGGCCATTATATGTTAGAAAAATTCTCTTATATATACTCTACTTAATTATTTTTCTTTTTATACTTTGCATTGAAGTGCTGCTAATAACAACGGATAAAAAAAAATTGAAATATCAGATTATTAAAGACATTGGATTACTCATTCTAAAAATTCACTGGGAAAAAACCCAGTCAGAACGCAAGAGTTTATCGAGATAGTAGCAGTACTCACGAGCTTTTGTTTTTTCTTTCTCTTTTTTATTTACAGATTTTTATTTTACAATTAGTTCTTCAATTCATTTTCTATTATTCTTTTTTTTTGTAAATGAATCATTCATTGATATATAAGGAGTACAAAATAGCAATATAATTGTAATGAAAACCAAAGAACATAACATGAACTTTTTATTTCTAATCGGCAAAAAGAATATTAATAGCAATAGTGCCGATTGTAACTGCTTCTTGACAACACCATTTCTCGGTTGGTGATTACAAAGGAAGAAAGTAGATACAGACGTACAGGTTTTTTTTTATAAATACAGGTCTTGATGATGACTAGTAAAATTACTATTAATAAACAACATGATGAATATTCAACTATCTTATTTTATGCTCTAGAAATATATAAATTAGCTGAAGAAATTCAATCATATACTGGAAATAAGTTTTTTTTTCGATTAGGTAATATTAAATGACAAGAATTTTCTAATAAATGACTGAATATTTTCATTCGTAATAATCATATTCTTTTCTTAGCATCATTTCATAATCCACTTACTAAATATTCGAACAAATATTTCTTCTTTATCATTTACCAAAATATTTTCGTCAATCATTGAAAGTTCTTTTGTCTTATTTTCCTACGGATACCATGAAATACATTCAAATTCAAGGTGAAATCGCAATAGCTTATTCATTAGTACAAATGCTTCCATCAATATCATTGACACTCACTGAAGCGTCAGAAATTGTTATTTTAGATATTCATGCATTACAAAATCAATTTTATTTTTCATCAAATATTATTGTTCAACTAGAATCAACCGTTGAATTATTATTCAACGAATTAAAAGCTAAAGAAACCAGCAACGAAATATATACCATTGCTTTTTCAGGTGATGAAAGACATAAATGTTTTTCCTCATATATTTGATGAGACAAATTATCCAATTATTGTTTATAGTAAAACTCGACACGATACTGAGAGTGTGGGTGTGAATCTTCCATTCATCTCCAAAGTCTAGACCCACCCACACCTCTATTGCACCAATGTGTATATGATGCTGCAGTTTTATACTTGAGCTTTAGCATTTTCTTTTGTAATGTAGGTCTGTCAGCACTCAGTCTCCACTTATCAGGACCACTACTACCAACAGGTACGCTGTGTATGTTATAATACAAGAAAGAAATCATAATATAAAAATTTATCTCGAAATTTGTTAGTATATACTCTTGTGTATATGTATCATTTAATAAATATATTAAACAAGCTTCAATGTGCACATGAAAATTAAACTTATGATAACCTATGAAAATTGCTATACTTGAAATTATACAATAGTGGTGCACAAATACCAAGAGATAAACATCTAAGATATATCTTATAGATAGAGGACTGGTAGAGGATTATAGTGGTAGATATCTGCCCAATCCATATCATCAGTCTATAGTATATGAAAAGCAAGAGAACACGTCATCATGAGATGAAAATGAATAGAAAAAGAAAAACAATCAAATTTTAAGTCGTACTTTTGATTATTCGAACTATAGTTCATTTTTATAAATCTCAAACTTACTCACTGCCATTGGTTGTTGTCACAGCTTTCGAATGGACAGATCCATCTCCAGGATACCGGTTTGAAAGAGAATAAATGAAAAATTATTGTAGTTATAAAAAATGTGCATACGAAAATTATACTTCAATTTTCTTATTTATTCTCCTTCATATTTGGTAAATCAAGGATGGATCTGTCAATACAAAAGCTCTGCCAATAAAAATTTATAAAATTGTAAATAATTACTGTAAATTATTTTCGTACATTAATTCTTATGTCAATATAAAAGGTCCTATAACTTGATTTTATTATGATAATTTATAATTTAAAAATGCTTTAGAAAGTAAAAGTTTGTAATCGAACATTTTAATCACATATTATAACTTTGAATTCTTATCTCTTTTTTTTCTAATTCATTTTCAAAAATACAATTAAATAGTGAAGATAGAGATATGAAACTGAATATAGTTAATTAATTACGGTTTTAGATAGATTTTTTTCAAAAACTATTACAATGGCAAGATGGGAAATTGAACATCAATTTACTGGAATCACAGATACTATGAGAATGAATATATTGAGCACAATAAGCTCTTCAATTGATACGCATGGAACATCAAGCGTTGATAATAAGTTTAAAGTCGCAACGGATATTAAAAATTGGCTTAATGAAACTTATGGAAAATACTGGGGTGTAGAAATTGGCGATATAGACAAATATACTTCTGCTATCTCTCAATTTGAAAGCAAGTTTTTGTCGGTCCATGAAAAACGATTGGGATTGAGAATACGTATTTTTAAACAAGCGGTATCATAAAGAATGGCAAGATTCATTATATTCGTAGATATACATTGCTGTTTTTTATTATAAGATCAATAATAGTGTGTTCTCATCTACAACCATTCGAAAATAAACAAAGATATTAACTTATTTGAGTCGATTTCGATTTTGTTGGAGAGTAGCTCTAAGAGATTATTTTTGTGTGCATTGATCTTTCGATAACCGCATTCGTTGGCCGCTTCAATCTGTACTGCCAGTGGTTTTTCTTTCTATTTGCATTATTACATAGATAGTTCTCTTTCTCTTATTTATTGAGCACGAGAAATGGTATAAAAGAAACGAAATTCTGACTTTTTTCTCTTTTGCATTCTTTTCTTAGCTATCTTTTAGACCCTTTTCACAAGAGGATCTTGACAAGATTGCATCTCAAGAATTGCTTGACCGATTGAGCTGAAAGTTTTTGTGGATCTATATATAAAGTTCTATTGACGAAAAAAAATCCATCTGTAAATATTGGATCCTTGATCTTTTATCTGTCATCCAATATGATCAAAAATTCACTATTTAGACAATTTTAGAGCTGCATATCTCATGGCTAGAAGAAGACAAAAGTCTGAAATTTTCATTGAAACTAGAATTCATAGAGAAACTATATGGAAGAATCAGCATGAGATCACTGTAAATGGCTTAGAAAAGAGCTCAGCTTTGAGAGTCCAAATGAGGCCATTAACGGGGTAGGAAATCGTACATCTAAAATTCTAATGCTTGATAAAATATCATCTTGATCATTCTATTTGATAAATTTTCTATCAAGATAGCGCAGGTAATTATCCAGAGTCGATATCTTCAAGTTATTCAGAGTAATGATAAAAGGTAAGAGTTATTTCTATAAATTGTAGAGTGTCACGCTTTTCACGGTACATAAAGAATAATATGGCGCATAAAGCAATCGATCTGTTCAATGAAATAAAAATCCCGATGATGTTATTATAATTCTTATTTGTAATGTTTGTACTCAATTAGCAGTTAATGAAGCATTAAATTTAATTTTAAAAAATTTTAAAGAAATTCCAAAACATTATTATTCAAATGATTGTTATTTTAGCATCTCGATTAGATATATCTAATGAATGGCTTTGTTAAAGAGAACAATGCTAAAAAAAGTATTCGATTTATTTAATCAGGTTGTGGATGTGGATGTTGTGGTTTCTCTTTCATCCATACCCACCTACACTCTTTTTCAAGATTGTAACACAAAACAATGAAAATCATTACGATTTTCAGATGATACACTTGAACAAATTGATTATTTTTCTCAATTCTATTTTCACTCTAAAAGATTTCTTCAACTCTGTTATAGTATGACTCAGTTGTATCTGGTATTTTTCTTTTCTTTCTTTGTTCTGTTCTTCGATCGTACGTAGACAACACGTGTGACATATAATGTCTTCTCTTTCCTAGATATAGTGTAGGTTTTTTCCCCCGTCGCCAGGTTTTCTTCCAATTCTTCTCAGATTTTCCCTAATTCGCTCATCTATATATAATTGCTATCTGGAAAATGAATATGACATTTAGTGATCCATCTGTCAAGTCATTATTCAATATATCAGGTATGAAAGTTGATAATAGATTTGCATTATTATTTCATCTTCGATTTCTTACAAATCTTGTCTCACTAATGGTAAAATCCCTTATGTTGAAATTCAGTTTTCCACCATTAAAATAATTCGTTGTTCGTTCATGTAGAAATACTAGTTGGTTAAAAGTAATAATAAACACATAGTTGAGTTTACAACAAATATGATTTAGCATTTTGCAGAACTTTTCTCGACTTGAGAATCTTGAATATGCATTAACTTATTATTATTTAAATAGAACATTAAAAAAAAAACTATTAATTTTGAAGCGTTTCAGAATCGTTTTTGAAAACAACGAATGACTTATTTCAGTACATCCATCACTGAGAAACACTCTAGTCTTTGACTCGACAGGATATGTCCTTTAGATTGATTAAGATTCATTCTTTAAAATTATCTGTGATTTTCAATACATCGCAGAGCTTGAATAGAAGCGCATTTTAGAAAATTTTGTGCGTGTGGGTGTTAGGAAGAAGACAAGCCTCGCATGCCTGATCAAAATTTCACGCACACCTACGGCCAAAATACACGTCAGAGAAAGGGAGCAATGCGTAGGCATGACAAAATGTGAAGAACGAAAAAGAATAATTGAAATAATAAATATATGCACGTGCTCTTGTCTTGTTCTTGACAAGCGCAGAATGGCAAACCTCGTCACTTGCTCATTCTTAAACTTTTTCTTTCAAGACTAAAAGGATCTTAATCGATGATTCATTGAAAAAATTTCATCTTTCTGCAGAATGAGTAAAGGATTGGGAAACAACCAATATGCTTCGACTATTTATTACTGTCTTCATTTCGAACAAGGTGTAGTCATATAAATTTTGTTTTCGTTTAACGTTTACCTTTTTTTGTCTATCTACAGACTCCTACATTATTCAGTTATCATTGTTTTTCTTTTCTTACATGTTGCATAGTTATTTCGAAAGGTTGCAAGGAAGTAAAGAACGTAACTTCGCTAATGTTTTGATAAGGTATGTAACTATGTATGTGAATAAATGAATCATTTTTTTCTCTATCAACAATCTATCGTTGGACATCTTTCCGCTTAATAAGTAGAAATAATGCATTGACCTATTGAGAATAGAATCAAATGTTTCTTTTTTTGAAAAAAGTGAAAATTTCCAAAATTCCCAATCAATGTTTATTTTTTAAGAAACACTGACAACTATAAGCAAAGGTAACTGATCTTTACTTTTATGATTACATGGGTTATTTCCATCTAAATGGAAATAATACTAGAGCAGTTCGATATTAAACGAAAGTTATTATTTTCAGATTAGTACATTACACACACACACACAATGAATAATATGGACTATCTTCGAGACGGACAGGCTTCCGTCGATGAAGATAAAGAAAAATGTATGGAAGAACAAAATGTTAGTGAACCAAATCAAAATACAACATTAGCCGAAGAAGAACAACTATATTTGCAAGCAGCTTTTCTATGTAAGTCTTAAATAAAAATTCTTGTATCAAGAGTCAATTGTAAAAAAAAATGTACCTGTCTACATTACTGATTTTTAGCTGATGTGATGCAAATTCTGAACCCAGCAGTTGATAATGTTGAGAATGAGTATATGCAGCCTGTACTGCTGGATACAACATCATTGTTCATTGATCGTGAACTTCCACAACCTGCTGAATATGGTAAGTTTAGAAGAAAGAGTCTTGTATAAACATTAGAATGTCTATATCTAATCTGTTTTATATTCATTAGTTGAAGATGTTTCTAACACATTTGGTGCTACTCAACCAATTACCACTAACGATACGATGCGATTAGACAAAACACCAAACAAAACTACGACTCGAAAGCAAAGTAAGAATATTCTAAGTTGTATTTTCAGAATTATAATGCTAAGATATAGATTTCTACTAGTTATCTGTTAGAAAATGTTGGCAATCCAATTTCTATTTGTTGTTTTTGAGAGAAAAAAAAACCGATTACAATCATATATCCTTTTTGAAATAGTTCAAAGTCGATGAATTAACGTTAAAGATAGATTTGCTTTGAATACAATTGATATTTTAAAACTATTTTAATTGAAACAATATCGTATTTAACGAGTCAACAATAAGGACGAAAAGTAAAAATTTCAACTTAGCATATGTTTTCATAATCACATCCTGTACGAGTTATTCTATTAGCCATATCTGTTGTAAGATGTCAACAATATCAGTTATTACATTCATTGTTTGATTTGTACGAAAAATGTTCTGCATGTTATTCAATTTTAGAAACCAAGCGCAAATTTATTCTTCCTGAGTTTGATGTGCTAGAGAAGCCGGTCGAATACACGTAAGTCATCTTAATTGACTAAATTTCTTTTCTTTCAATTAATTTTGTTTTCAGTTGGGAAGCATCTCCGGAATCAGCCGAACTCATCTATAACGATCGAAGAATTCAAGTAAACATGAAAGATTTTAATGTCCTTCAATATCTCGGCCAGGGAAACTTTGGTTGGGTTGCTAGCGTTAATATTACGGGACATCTTGATGTTCGTATGGCCGTCAAAGTAAGTAACTTCCAAGGAGAAATATTCTCAACTGTCTGATTGACATTAAATTTGTACAGATATTGAAAAACTAGTTTAGATTTACTTCATCCTGTAAGGAACATCAAATTTTTGCTAATTAATAATTTCGAAAAAAAAAATCTATTGTAATATGGAAAATTCATGTTTCTTTTTTCTAAGTAGGGAGATTCCCATTAGAAATGTCCTTGTTTTGGCAACTAGAGGTGCGGTGCATAACAAATAATGTCTTATTTGTAGCGCATTACACTTTCAACAAAAGAAGAACGAGCCTCTGCAAGGCGTACTGAACTAAAAATGATGCAAGAATTAGGCTCCTGCAAGTGTCCATATATCATTGACTACTATGGTGCAATGATTGATACAGTGAGTGAAAAATCATCTTGCTTTTGTATTATAATGTTCTTTTTGCAGTACCATAGTGAACTGTGTATTTGCATGGAGTTAATGGATACAACAGTCAAGAAATTCTATGAAACTATGCATCTACTAGGAGATATTCTTTCTAGCAGTCTTGACCGTTTTCTATGCCGTCTGATCCATAATGTAAGAACTATTTTCATTATTTTATAGACATTCATTCTCTCTCTCTCTTACACAGATTGCTTCGGCACTTGAATTCTTGGCACAGAAAAACTATCTTCATCGAGATATCAAACCAGACAATATACTCCTAAGTATTCTTGGTTTCTTTAAACTAAGTGATTTTGGTACATGTTGCGAAATAAATGAAACGAATTCGGTACAGAGTGGTCTTATGGGTACTATTGCCTATTTTTCACCTGAACTTGTGAAAGTACCGTCAAAACCGAGCTCTATTCAAAGTGATATGTGGGCTTTGGGTATTACTTTGCTCGAAATTGTCATCGGCAAACATCCATGTCTTGCTTCGAATGATTCTGATCAGTATTTGAAAATTGCAACATGGAATCCAGAAGTTCCCACGATGATCATCTTCGACTATATGCAAAAGTTTATTTTATACTTGTGAGTATTTCTTCGTAAACTATTATTCTAATTATAATAGTTTTGAACTTTGAACAGATTGAAGAAAGAATCTGAACAGCGACCTGGTTCTTATATCGAGATTCTCAATATGTCTTTTATTCGAGATCTATCTGAACAACCAACCAACGACGAATGTAATTTTGTTGCTGATGTAATGCAGATTAGTTATGAATGTACCGGTTAAAACTAATGGATCAATGTTGTAATATCAATAGAATAATGTTTTGATTGAATCACATAGAATCTAAACTCATATATGTCCAAGAAAATTAAACAAATGTTATATTTCTTTTGACATTAACTTCCAATTAATAATATATGGGCAATGTTCAGAATTCGTCCAATATATGTGAATAGGTCACATATTATCTTTTTTCCTACGAACCATAATATATGGTCCGTTGGTTGTTTTTGCTATTCTCTTGTACGTGTGTATCTAAGACAAATATCTTGTCTTCTGCGAATGTTCATGTTCTCTTTTTCCGATTTATATTTTGTTTTACATTTACAAAATTTTTCGTATTGAATAAAATTGAACTCACGTACACAAAACCAACAAAACTTACAGACAGCTGTGTTTCTCAATATTTTTTCGCATTAATCTACGTTTATTGAATTAAGTTATTACGAATACAGTTCTCACAATAAGTGAGTAGACTAGAGAATGCAATCATTTCTGAAGAGAAGTTGCATTCAGTCAAAAACAACACTAGCTAATAATCTTCGGCATATTCAGCATTAATTGATTTTGTTCAAATATATCTTATTTCGATCGTTTATACTCAAAAACGGAGACAAACGGAAATCATCTAAGCTGATAGTGCACGCAAGGTGCTTGTTATCTAAAGAGACTATATAAAGATGAAAAGAAAAGAAAATGAATATTTCTTTTGCAATTATCATGAAAATTTAATTCATCAACTTAAAATCTTTGAATTTCTCTGAAACTTTTTTTTCTTATTTGATTGAATGATAGATCAATTTATTGAAAGTAATTATTAGAGAACTGAACCAAAATGAAAGACCATGTTGCAAGTCTATCATCAAATGTTTTGTTTAATATAATTTTTAAAAATCTTCATATAATCATTCAGTTAAAATCATAGATTGATATCCATATTGATGACATGTTTCACTTTAAGGAGGATTTTAATAATGATTTTTACCTGTTCAAAAGAATTTTCTAAAATCTTACTTAAAATTTCCGATATAAAATTCCTTATAATAGAAAGATACGTCATCAAACATTTTGTTTTTTTTACAACTAAGGTCGTTTTCGGTGCCTTTTTTATTTACAGATCAAAATAGATGATTGTAAATTATATACTATTCAATAATGAATTTAAAGAACTACAAAATCGTATATAAAATTAGGTGATACTGGTAAAAGTGGGAGAAGGTGTATAAGAGGTGAAATCGACCCACCAGTACTACTTTTCTTGGACAATCCCATTGAATCATATATTAATGAAAAGAGCATGTCGAGACTATCATTTTGGTATTAGTTTCATGAGGTTTTGATCGGATTTTGAAGCCTAACAGCTGATGCATTTGCAGTCATTATTTTAATAATCCATTGTATCATAGTGGATACGATTTAAAAATAAGCAGACAAGACACAATACTACTGAAATTATATATTTGGTAGCTTGTTGATAGAGAATCAGTTCCATATATAAATCATCAATTGATTGTTTAATTTAACAGGATATAGGTCCGATGTATTTATAGACACTGTTAGCATATTGACTATATTGACCATCCATACTTGTCTTTCAAAAAATATTTTAGTTTAAAAATTGAGGATTAGAAAAAGTTCAATTTAAGTCAAAACCAATATGATATTCAGAATCAGTATAAAATTTTGAGTTGATCAAGGTGCGATATGAAGAATTTCTGGAAGTTTTTTTTATTCGTGAAAATTTTTGTTGGTGGTCACTCTCCGGGGATTAGACGAAAAATAAATTGCATGAAAACATTACTTGAACATTACAAATAAACGTTGAAATTTGTTTAAAATTATTAGATAGCAAAGTAGGATATGTCTAGAAAATAAAAGCAGAATTTCCATTGAGTTCATTTTTTTTGTCTGGTTCCTGAGAGGACAAAACTTTTCATGAACAAATAACTTCTAGAAATTCTTCAGATCACACCGAGATCAACTCAGAATTTTATGCTGATTCTAAATATCATATTAGTTTTCACTCAAATTGTACCTGTTCTAAGTATTTGTTAAATAGACTCAAAATTACACCTGGGGAATAGTGTGCTTACGAGTTTCTTAAGTGGCCGCATTTTATTTTTGACTTTGGAAAGTATATGATTTAGTAGCTTTTTTAAAAGGCTATCAAATAAGCAATACCACGATTGTGGTCATTTCAATTTTTCAATTAAAATATTTGTTGAGAGATAAGTATGGATGGTAAGTATAATATTATGCTAATAGTATCTACCAATAGATCAGACCTATATCTCGTTAAATTGAACGATCAATTAATGGCTTGCATATGAGATTAAAGCCCAATCAAAGAGCTATCAAATTCATAATTTCAGTTCTATGTTGTCTTATCTACCAATACTGCAATTAAATTTACCGTGATAAGATCGATTATTACAAAACTGATCAAAAATGAACTGCGTTGTTGATAGCTTTTAGGTTTCAAAATTCAATAATAAGCTCATAAAGATTGTTGAGATTAACGCACTTACATATTATATATTATTTTTGAAAGAAATAAACTAAATGATAGTCATTCATTTTTAATAAACATTTCGTTAAATATTTATCGCCCTCAGCAACTGTAAAACCAAATTCATGATTAGACGCTTTTCTTATGGCTTTCCTAGAAATCCGTTTAAACATAGATAAAAGAGATATTCGAGAAGCCAGTGTTTCTATTCACACCCTCACTGAAAGAGATACTCTATATGTATGTTTCTGTTCCTACACTTCTCCAATACCTTCTACACTACTGACCATAAGTCCCGGGATGTGTGATACTTCCCCACGGCTTCGATAATTTCCCATCAAATTTTTACTAGAGATAGAACTTAAAAAACTGTGATCGTCAGCATCGACTCGAGTTCTATCGATTGAGATAGTATGAAGTTATGATTCAAACACTAGTTTCATCTCTATTTACCTGTGAACCAATATTCACAGTTTTTATGAAAAATAATCGAGATGCTAAGGGCCTACGAACAATAAATGCCCACTACGTATTCCTGTGCCATGAAATCAATTAACATTAATCAGCTAAGAAACAACTTAGAGATTGAATGAGATTTCCAGCATCTCGATTGTTTTTCATAAAAACTGTGAATATTGATTTACAGGTAAACAGAGGTGAAACTAGTGTTTGAATCATAACTTCATACTATCTCAATCAGTAGAGCTCGAGTCGGTACTGATGATCACAGGTTTTTAAGCTCGATCTCTGGTAAAAATTTGATGGAAAATTATCGAAGCCACGGGGAATGCCACACATTTTGGGACCTATGGTCAGTGATGTGCATGAATCATCAAATAAATGTCGAACTGTAAATCGATTACTGTACTTAGAATAAAACTCATTTTGAAAAGCGGATACTAACAGTATATGAAATACATCATTGATAAAGATTATTTATCATATTAAATTCTTTTGATCAACTAAAATTATGTAATTAGTTTTAGTAATATCTCGCATTTGCATTATTCTAAAGTAAAATCTGTTTAACTCTTGTGGAAAAGTCACTGAAGTATAGTGTTCTTTTTTGAGTGAAACTCAACTTTTGTAAAAAGAAAATATACAGATGAGTTATACCATCTAATTTAATAGATTTCTATCATGATTTCTTTTTTTTGTGACACTGTCATCAAATCGAGTTATCGCTTCATTAAATGTTGTCAATATTGATTTGCATTGCTTGCCACTCTCTATGCCATTACATCATATAATATAAATATTAGTATACGTTATATGCTTAGTTTCTTCCAGCTTATACATTAATGTAAATAATCGTTTTTTTTAACCAGGTTTTTCGTTAGTTTGTTACTTCCTATCCCGTTCCGACTGTTTTCTTTACTCTTGTATATCATGTCAAGTGTGATACGAATAAATTAAACTTATTTAAGCCAACATTTACCGAATTTACATAGATTCTAGTATAGGATACGAAAAAGTTTCATCCTGGAGGAGTCTGTTTCGAATCATTCAAGTCAATATTGCCATAGACAATCAAAATATTAACATCCAATTCATTAAAAATCTGTAATTTAATCCCGTAAAGTGTATATATATATATATATATAGGGCCACCTAATGTTAACAAGAGTCAATCAGATTCGCATCCATTAGTGTCCTTTTCATTTCTTATTGACACATTGAATATTTCAACAGTTTTTTTAATATTTTATTTTTATTTTTTGTTCTTTCATCATTCAGCATATAACTTTTCGAACAAAATGGGTCATGAAGTGAGCCATCAACGTAACAACTATCTCGACGATTATGATCGAAATCGACAAATACAATGTTATACATGCAAAGGATCCGGAACAATTGATATCGAAGATAGATGTCATTGGTGTCAACATCGTAACAGAACATGGTCAGACTATAGGCCAAAATGCTCATGCAACGGTTACGGTCGTCGATCAACTACGAAAAGATGTGACGATTGTTTTGGCAAGGGTTATCAAGAGGTTTGAATTCTGATAAGAAAAACAAGACAATTTTCATTTAGTATTACGTATCCATTTAGAAGACTTATTTTGAATAAATAATTTTTTGTTCTGTTCTATCATTTTTTTTTTCGTCTTGTCTATCGAATTTTTATTTCAGCAGTTATTAATGACCATGTTCAGATTATTATAGATGATGACTACGGTACACTCATAATTGCTCGAAGTAGTCAAGAAATTGGTGAATTCGTTATGTATTCTTTGTCTTTATCTATATCACTCATTACACCTTCATATTAAGTGGTTTAGACAAATGCGATGATCGACAAGATTGCATGCTATTCTTCTGTCTTTGCAAAAGTTTCATCAAAGCTGAAGAATTGTTTCTCTACAATGTGGGAGAGACCACTTGGAAGTAATCATAACAAATGTCTAATTGATCGGTCATCAGTACCAATATGTTGCTATCAAGTATCTATGGTTCTCTACAAATTGTTTGCATTTTTCTATCAAATATT